ATGATGATGCGGATGATGATGCGGCTGATGATGATGCTGCTGATGATGATGCGATGATGATGCGATGATGATGATGATGATGATGCTGATGATGATGATGATGATGATGATGCTGATGATGATGATGATGATGATGATGATGATGATGATGATGATGATGATGATGATGATGATGATGATGATGATGATGATGATGATGATGATGATGATGATGCTGATGATGATGATGATGATGATGATGATGATGATGATGATGATGATGATGATGATGATGATGATGATGATGATGATGATGATGATGATATGATGCTGATGTTGCTGACGATGATGCTGCTGATGCTGCTGCTGTTGAGGAGGAGGCGGAGGCGGAGGAGGATTAGGAGGAGGAGGAGCAGGAGAAGCAAAAGGCGAAGGAGGAGGATGATGTGGACGAGGATGAGGATGAGGATGAGCAGGAGGAGGAGGAAGAGGAGGAGGACGAGGAGGAGGAGGAGGAGGAGGAGGAGGAGGAGGAGGAGGAGGAGGAGGAGGAGGAGGAGGAGGGGGAGGAGGAAGGGGAGGGGGATGATGAACAGCAGGAAGAGGATGAGGATGAGGATGAGCAGGAGGAGGAGAAAGAGGAGGAGGAGGAGGAGGAGGAGGACGAGCAGGAGGAGAAGGAGTTCATCCCGTTCCCCCCTTGAGATGGTAGGATTCTTGCCCTCCTGGTCGTCCTTCTCATCCTCCTCAGTGTCCTCACTTCGAGGGGCAGCGGGGCGGAGGGGAAGTGACGGGAGGGGGGGATCGAGAGGATGGGGATGAGGAGGGGAGATGAAGGGGCATACACGTGAAGGCAGTCGAAGTCGAGGGCGAGGGGAGTCCCCTTCGCGCTGCCGCACTCGGGCGGCTCCCATCTGTTCTCCTGACCGTGCTGCTGTGCCTCAGGCTGCTCATGTGGCCAGAGCACCTCATGCCGCGAAGCTACGTGCCTGGCGACAGCGTCAGGGGACGGGTCTGGTTGTAAGGGGCGAGCGTGACGACGATTTTGATGGCGGTGTTGGTGTTGGAGATGATGTTGGTGATGCTGATGAGTCTGATGATGATGCGGATGATGATGATGCTGATGATGGTGATGCTGCTGATGTTGTTGATGATGATGAGGACGATGATGGTGATGATGATGAAGATGCTGACGATGATGACTATGTTGAGAAGTATGATGATGCTGATGGTGATGCTGATTATGTTTATGATGATGATGCTGATGCTGATGGTTGTGATGATGCAGTTGTTGCTGCTGATGACTATGCTGTTGATGATGATGAAGGTGATGATGCTGATTCTGCGACTGGTGATGCTGCTGCTGATGATGCTGATGTTGATGATGATGAGGATGATGAGGATTGTGATGCTGCTGATGATGATGATGATGATGATGATGATGATGATGATGATGATGATGATGCTGACGACGATGACGACCGCGACGATGATGCTGATGATTATGCTGGTGATGATGTTGACGATGCTGCTGCTGATGATGATGAGGATGCTTACCACGTTCATGATGCTGTTGTTGATGATGCAGGTGCTTATAACGAAGGTGTTGCTGTTGGGGATGGTGATTCTGAAGAGAGGGAGGAGGAACAGCATGCTGATGAGCACGATTGTTATTGTTAGAGGCAAGAGGAGATTGCTGCTGAGTGATGTGGGGGTTCCTGATAGTGGTGGTGGTGGTGATGCTGGTATTGATGGTCATGGTGGATACTTTAGCGGTGGTGAAGACGACGGCAACGATAGTCCTAACTATGAAGATGATTATGTAGCAGGAAGATGGGGAGGAGTAGGAGGAGTAGGAGGAGGAGGAGGAGGAGGAGGAGGAGGAGGTGGAGGTACACTGCGATGAGGACCTGGGGGACGGCTGGGTTGATAGCTACACAAGGCAGAGATGCACAAAGAGAGAATGAGAGTGAGAGAGAGAGAGGGAGAGAGAGAGAGAGAGAGAGAGAGAAAGAAAGAGAGAGATCGATAGAGAGACATATTTATATATATAGACAGAGAAAGAGAGATAAGGAGAGACAGTGTGAGAGAGAGAGAGACGTGATGACAGTGAGGCATACCCCAATGCAGTCACCAGGGGGTGAACCTTCTTTCCCTCCCTCCTCCCTCCTCCTTCTCCCCCTTCCTCCCTCCTGCTCTCTGCTTCTCTCTCTGGTGTCCCACTTCCTCGTCGGCGCGCCTTGCGAGACAACCGCAGGGGCCTACCCTGTCCTGCGAGGGCGGGGGACACGATGTTTCGGCTCCCTCGCTAACGGACTCCTGTGCCTGGCTTTCTCCCCCCAGCTTTGCGTAGGTACCCCCCCCCACCGACGTGATGACGGACAGTTCCCAACCATCCTGTGGTGGTGGGTCCTCGTCTTGAAGAGACGGTCCCCGCGTTCCTTCTTTCCTTCCTTCCTCCCTCCTTCCCCTCCTCCCTCCTCCTCCTCCTCCTCCTCCTCCTCCTCTTTATCCTCCTCCTCCTCCTTTTCCTCCTCCTCCTCCTCCTCCTCCCTCCTCCCGTCACCCCCTCACTTTGGCACACCCTAGGCTACACACTGGTCGTTGAAAGCAGGTATTTTTTGATTCCCAGATCCCAGTCTACTTGAAGGGCCTTCCTACTTCAAGAGTCGATCTTGTTTGATGTTTTTTGGGAGGCGGGCGCAAACCGAATCTACTTCTGGGGCTTGGTTGCGACTTCCCTGGATGACGTTGGTTGTTTATGGTGGTTTTCGTTCGTCCGTCGGTCGTTTTGGCATGCCTGGCTGGTTTCCGGTTGTTTTGGCTTGTTTTCGCTTGTCCGTCGGTTGCCCCAGGCTCGTCGGCCGCCCCTCGCTCCCCCCCCGCCTCGGCCGGCCCCTTCCCCGGCTCCTTCTCCCTCCTCCTCTTCCTCCTCCTCCTCCTCCTTCTTCTTCTTCTTCTTCTTCTTCTTCTTCTCCTCCTCCTCCTCCTCCTCCTCCTCCTTCTTTGGTTATTTTTGATGTGTTTTTCGCTCGTCCGTCGGTTGCACTGGTCGCCCCAGGCTCGTCGCCCGCCCCATCGGCCCCTCGGCCCCTCGGCCGGCCCTGGCTGATGTCGGTTGCGTGGATTCTATAGGCTTCCGCCACGTCCGCCGACCTCTCTGTAAAGTACTGTGCCTCCAGGAGGCCTCGCCTTCGGCGGGTGCCCGTCGCCGCGGCTAGACGCGGCTCGAAAATCCATTGCGTTCGCTCTCCAAGGGGGGTCCAGGGTCTGTTGTCTGCCACCTTTCGGGCAGAATTCCGAAGCCGGGGCGAGGAAAAGTGGCAAGAATGCGTCAAGTCCAGGGTCGTGTGTGGCACGCTCTGGCATGTCCGTTGGGATTTCGTGGCGAGGATTCTCGCGGGCCTCTTCGAGGCAGTTTCGAAGGGTCTTGGGGGCCGTTTTGGGACTTCTTTTGGGTCTCTTGGGGGCTCCTTGGGGCCTCTTGGGTGCCTCATGGAGGCCTCTTGGGGCCGCTTGGGGGCCTCTTGGGTCCTTCGGGGAGCTTCGTTGGGCGGAGCGCTGGAATTCGCGGTTCGTGGTCCCTCTCTTGGGCCCTTCTTGGGGCCGTCTTGGAGCTCTCTTGGGCCGTCTAGGGCGCCTCTTGGGCCACGTTGGAGTCTTTTGGGTTGTCTTTGGGGCTTCCTGGGGGCTTCGAAGGCCGTGTTGGGGTGGTCCTGGGGGCCTCGTGGGGATCTCGTGGACGGTTTTCAACGCCGTGAAGACTAACAACTTGGATATGCTGAAAATGCACGATTTCCCCAAGGAGTATCAAGATTTTGGTTTCTTGGGGGCTTCTTGGGAGGCCTCTTGGAGGCTTCGTGGGGTGTCTTGGCGGCCTCTTGGGCCGTTTTGAGCTCATCTTGGGCGTCTTGGAATGATCTTTCGGCGACTTTGGGTTCTCGTGGACCGTCTTGGCGGCTTCTTGGGAGGCGTCAGGTGCTGTCGTGCAGCTCAAGAGCGTGCCCGGGGAGCCCAGACCGCCCCGGACGAGTTCGGTCTGGGGCCACCCTCGGCCGCGGGGGGGGTAAAATCCCGGTTTTGGGTCCCTCGGCGGGGGGATTGATGGGGGGAACAAGCTCACACGGCGGATGTCGGTTGCGTTGACTTGTTTTCTCGCTTGTCCGTCGGCTGCACTGGTCGCCCCAGGCTCGTCGGCCGACTCTCTCGGCCCCTCGACCCCTCGGCCGGCCCCCTTCCCTGGCCGGTTTCTGGCTGTTTTTTTGTTTGGCCTCGCTTCTCCGCTGGATGTGTGCTGGTCGCCCCCGGGCTCGTCGGCCGCCCCTCGGTCGCTCGGGCCCTGCCCCTACCCCCTCCCCCTGGGCCTGGAGAGGGCGTTCCGCGGGTCGTCAGGGGGGTCACTTTCGACTCCCGGGAGGGCTCAAAAACGACACCCCTCACGGGGATTCTGGCCCCGACGGGGGGCTGGCCGGTTTTGGTTGTTTTCGCTTGTTCTCTCGCGTGTCCGTCGCCTCCTCCCCCGGGGGGGAGGGGTCGGGACCCCTGCGACGGCGCCGCCTCGGCGGGGCGGGGCGCCCTCGGCCGACCGAGCCCCCGGACGACTGGGCCGCGGCGGCGCGCGCGAAAAAATGGGCAGGTCGAGCTCCGCGGCCTCGAGTCCGCCGCCTCGCTGAACGGCGCGGCGGCGACGGTGGTGCCGCCGTCGGCGGAGGAGGCGACGCTCCGGTGGCCGCCTCTGTCGTCGTCGTCGTCGTCGTCGTCGTCGTCGTCGTCGTCGTCGTCGTCGTCGTCGCGCTGATCCCCGTCGTGATGGAGTGCTCCTCCTTCTCTTCCTCCACCTCCTGAGTCTCGCTGTCCTCGTCCCCGTCCCCCTCGTCCTCGTCGTCGTCCTCCTTTTTGCCGTCGTCGTCGTCCTTCTCCTCCTCCCCCTCCTCGGTCGCCTCCCCCTCCTCCTCCCTTTCCTCTTCCCCCTGAGGACGAGGAAAGGGAATAAGGGTATGAGAAGAGGGAGGAGGGAGTGAGTGAGGAAGGGAGGGAGGGAGGGAGGGCGCGGGAGCGTGCAGTCTGCGATGCCACACTGCTGCGGTGGCGGTGCTCATGAGGCACTTGCCAGCGACTGGCGCCTTCGTGGCGCTCGGAGTAGCAATCTTTGATACGTGCCGCGTGGACGACGACGGAGTGGTGCACGAGCGCTCCATGGACCTGGTGGTCTGGTGGCCCACCGACGGCCGCTGGTACGTGCTGGACGTGACCGTCATGTCGCCTGTCGCAGCGGGGCTGACCGCCCCGCACCCGCTGCTCTGCGCGCCGTCGAAGGAGGGCGCGACAGACAAACCCTGGCACTGCGGCATGGTCCTGCTGCCCCGGGCCGAGGAGCCCGAGGGCCGCCTCGGCCAAGAGGCCCTGCAGGCGCCGACGGCGCTTCGCCGCGAAGGTGCGGAGTGCGGGCGCCTCCGCCCGGGCACGGCACGCGCCTGCGCCTTCTCCATCGGCCTTCCCTCCGCCCCCCTCCTCCCTCCCCCTCCTCCCTCCCTCCCCCTCCTCCCTCCCTCCCCCTCCCCCTCCTCCCTCCCTCCCCCTCCTCCCTCCTCCTCCTCTCCTCCCTCCCCTTCCCCCTCTCCTCCCCCCTCCTCCTGGCTCGCCGACCTGGACGCGGGGGTGCTGCGCCGGCGGCCGGCAGTGGGGCGCAGAGGGGGCGAGGCGGTCCACGGCGGAGCGGTGCGGAGCGAGAGGGGTAGTCCCTGAGAGGAGGAGCGGACTGTGACGGCTCGCGAGGGAGGGAGAGAGGGAGAGGAGGAGTCGTCGCAGATCCTCCTCCAGGCCTCCGCGGTGCAGGGCGACGGTGGCGAGCGGCGCATCGTCGTGTCGCTGGACGCGGATGGCACCCGGCTGGCCGTTCGCAAGGACTCCCGCGCTGCCGCGCTGGCATGCGTTTGGGACTGGCGTCAAGCTCGGTCGCCAGGAAGGCTCGCCATAAAAGATAGGGGTCATGAGGGAAGCGTGTGTGTGTGTGTGTGTGTGTGTGTGTGTGTGTGTGTGTGTGTGTGTGTGTGTATGTGTGTGTTTTTGTTTGTGTGTGTGTGTGTGTGTGTGTGTATGTGTGTGCGTGTGTATGTGTGTGTATGCGTGTGTTTGTCATGTTCGTCACTCTGGGGCTTTTCACGGGCCCCATGACTGTCAGAAATCGACCCTGTAAAAAGAACATGTCCGGGGGGGAAGCTCCGAAGGTCCAGGACCGATGTCCTCCGTGCGAGGGGGGGGCGAGGTGGATGAGAGACATCGTCATGTATAAGACATCGTTGCCCGCATTTTCTGTGAAGCTGCCACGCCATCAGCCGCAAGGCGTCCGTGGAGGACGAGGAGGAGGAAACGGAGGAAGAGGAGGATGAGGAGGAGGAGGAGGAAAAGGAGGATGAGCAGGATGAGGATGAAGAGGGTGGAGGAGATGATTGTGCGGATGATGATGAAGATGATGATACTGCTGGTTTTGGTGCCAGTCATGATGACGATGATGCTGCTGATGATGATGATGATGATGATGATGATGATGATGATGATGATGCCGACTGCGGTGATGATGTTGATGATGCTGGTGATGATGATAATGGTGGTGATGGGGATGACGATGTCGATGATGATGCGGATGATGGTGGCGATGATTATGCGCCGCCTGCCGATAATGAGGGTGATGAGGATAGCGACGACGATTGTGACGACGACAATGATCATGATGATGCCGATGCTGATGATCACGACGATGATGTTGATGCTGATGACGATGCTGGTGGTGATGGTGACGGTGATGATCACAAATGATGCTGATGGCGATGGTGACATAAAAGTGATGGTGGCGATGATGACGATTGTGAGGATGATGGATATTTGATGATGAAGGCGCTGGTGGTGGTGATGACGTTGACGATGATGACGATGACGCTGATGATGGTTTCGACGACGGCCATGATGGTAGTGGTGGTGGTGGTGGTGGGAGTGCTGGTGATGAAGATGTTTATGACGGCGATGACGATAACTGCGAGGGCAACGACGAAGACGAGGATGATGCTGCTGCTGAGGATGATGACGATGATGACGCTGTTGATGATGATGATGATGATGATGATGATGATGATGATGATGATGATGGTGATGCCGCTGCTGCATACCTGCACGCATATGACGATATTGGCGATGTTGCTGATGATGGGGAGGTTGATGGCCATGATGGTTACACTGATGCTGGCGACGATACTTATAATGCTGATGACGATCACGATGATGCTGCGGCTGATGATGACGACCACGATGATGATGACGACGGCGTCGATGGCGTTTATGACGACGACACTGATGCTGATGATGATGGTGATGATGATGACGGCGCTAATGATGATGGTTATGATGATGATGGTAATCCTGATTACGATGATGGTGGCGATGACGATGATGATAACGACGATATTGATGATGACGATACTGTTGATGATGATGATGCTGGTGACAATTATGATGGCAATAACGACGTCGATTATGATGATGATGGTGACGATGATGGTGGTGGTGATGATGATGGTGATGATGTTGCTGCTGCTGCTGCCGATCATCGGTGATGATGGTGATGATGGGGGTGGTGCTGCTGCTGATGATGTTGTTGATGGTTGCGATGGCGATGACGATACTGATGATGTTGATGATATCGGTGATGCCTGGTGAAGATGGTGAGGATGGTGATGATGGTGATGTCGATGTCGATGTTGTTGTTGAATATTATTACTTCTAAAGAATAATTATTGTTGGGCCCCCTGGTGCGCGCCCCCCCTGCGCCGCCTAGGCCGCAGCTACATTTTCATCATTTTCGTGAGGAAGCCTCAGGTAAAACGATGTGATCCAGATCCGGTTGTTTTGTTGTAATCCGTTTTCCCTTGCAAAAAACACTATAAAATGACATTTCTTGTTCTAATATAATCAAATTTCAAGAATCCCTTGCAAAAAATAAGGTAAAGTGGACATTCGCGCGCGCAAGACGAAATCCTTCCAAAAGCTTAGTGTTCGGAGCGATTTTAACATAAAAACATCAAAAAACCAATGGTTTTTCAACAAAAAATGTCAAAATCTCATCCCGCGCGCTCTTGCGGATTCGTAGGAAACCAACACTTTTTAAACATTTCTGTCAAACGGGCTTTTGCGAGCAACTTTTTCGAACTTCTGCGACAACGGTTGCGCACCTGCCAGGGCCATCATCCCTGTCAAATAATACCATGCGGGACACATTCGTTTTTTCTTCGCGCGCGCACGCCGTCGTCGTCGGCCGCGGGGCCCTGAATAGTAGCCACGGTCGTCCGCATGCCACGAAGTGAAGTGTCCGAACGTCATAGGGCGGGAAGCTGGGTGTGGGTGGTGGCGAAGAGTCGTTTGGAAATTTGGTAGAGCTTGAACCGGCCCCCCCACAAAGTGGGGGTATTGCCCGCCTCCTATGAAAACCCTGGCACTGGTGAGAACGGAGTGTCCCCACGTGCTAGTAATTGTTGTTGTTGTTGTTGTTGTTGTTGTTGTTGTTGTTGTTGTTGAACATTATTAATTCTAAAGAATAATTATTGTTGGGACCCCTGGTGCACGGCCCCCCCGCCGCGCCTAGGCCGCACCTACATTTTCATCATTTTTTCGCGAAAGCTTCAGAAAACTGAATGGGGTCCAGATCCGGTTGTTTTGTTGTAATCCGTTTTCCCTTGCAAAAAACACTATAAAATGACATTTCTTGTTCTAATATAATCAAATTTCAAGAATCCCTTGCAAAAAATAAGGTAAAGTGGACATTCGCGCGCGCAAGACGAAATCCTTCCAAAAGCTTAGTGTTCGGAGCGATTTTAACATAAAAACATCAAAAAACCAATGGTTTTTCAACAAAAAAATGTCAAAATCTCATCCCGCGCGCTCTTGCGGATTCGTAGGAAACCCAACACTTTTTAAACATTTCTGTCAAACGGGCTTTTGCGAGCAACTTTTTCGAACTTCTGCGACAACGGTTGCGCACCTGCCAGGGCCATCATCCCTGTCAAATAATACCATGCGGGACACATTCGTTTTTTCTTCGCGCGCGCACGCCGTCGTCGTCGGCCGCGGGGCCCTGAATAGTAGCCACGGTCGTCCGCATGCCACGAAGTGAAGTGTCCGAACGTCATAGGGCGGGAAGCTGGGTGTGGGTGGTGGCGAAGAGTCGTTTGGAAATTTGGTAGAGCTTGAACCGGCCCCCCCACAAAGTGGGGGTATTGCCCGCCTCCTATGAAAACCCTGGCACTGGTGAGAACGGAGTGTCCCCAGTCTTAAATGATTGTTGTTGTTGTTGTTGTTGTTGCTGTTGTCAATGCTGATGATGATGATGGTGCTGCTGATGATGCAGTTGAGGCTGATGCTGCTGATGATGATGACGACGATGCTGATGCTGATGATGATGGTGATGATGATGACGGGATGATGATGATGCTGATGCTGCTGCTAGTGATGCTGATGATGGGGAGGACGAAAAGGAGAAGGAAGAGGAGCAGGAACATGACTGAGTAAGAGGACGATGAGTTGGAGGAGGAGGAGGAAGAAGAAGAAGAAAACGATGACGATGACGAGAAGGAGGAGGAGGAGGAGGAGGAGGAGGAGGAGGAGGAGGAGGAGGAGGAGGAGGAGGAGGAGGAGGAGGAGGGAGGAGGAGGAGGGAGGAGGAGGAGGAGGAGGAGGGAGGAGGAGGAGGGAGGAGGAGGAGGAGGAGGAGGAGGAGGAGGAGGGGAGGAGGAGGAGGAGGAGGAGGGAGGAGGGAGGAGGAGGAGGAGGAGGATGAGGAGGAGGGCGACGGGGAGAAGCTGGAGGAGCAGGAGGAGGGGGAGGCTTAGAACGAGGAGATGATTCACAGCAGCAGCAGCAGCATCAGCAGCAGCAGCAGTAGGAGCAGCACGTGGAGGAACAGCGCGCCTTGCTGCAATTGGTATTCTGCGGCGTTTCCCCCGTCCCTTGCAGGGAGTTCAGGGAGGGGCCTTGACTCCGGCGCGTCTTGCTCTCGGTGGAAGCCAGTGCAAGTAAAACGGCGGCGGGCCTGCGGGCAGAAGCTGGCGGCAGGTCGGCGGAAGGCGGTGGAAGTAGAAGCGAGACGTCATCGTTTTTGGGTTCAGGGATTCTGGAGGCGGCCACGTGCCCTTCTCGCAGGTGCTCGCACACGCAGCTGGTACGAGGGTTGAGAACAGCATTAGTTCGGGAACGCTGGCCCTTCTGTTCTTCGTGCTTGGGCCCCCCACCTTGGAATGAGCTTCGTCTGGGGTATATTCATGGTGCCTTGACCCCTCGGCGAACGGGGCGCATGTTCTGGGCTCACGTTCTTGTGGCCGTGCTTCGGTCCTGCTCTCGACATGTCTCACCCCAGGTGCTCGCGCCAGAGTGTCAGTTCCCCTTCTCCCTCCCCTGCTGCTGATGCTTCTGCTCGTCGCACTCCCCCCATGTGATGGCTCTTCCTACACGTCATCGTCGTCATCGGCGTTGGCGGCGGCGGCGGCGGCGGTGGCGTCGTCGTCGTCGTCGTCGTCGTCGTGGTCTTCGTCGTCTGTGTTGTCTGTGTTGTCTGTGTGTCGTCGTCGTCGTCGTCGTCGTCGTCGTCGTCGTCGTCGTCGCCGCACTCGTCGCCATACTCGTCGCTGTGGTCGTCCTCCTTCTCCTCCTCCTGTTCCTTTTCCTCCTGTTTTCCTCCTCCCAGCCTCTTTGCTGCGCTGGGGCTCGCACCGAACCCCCTCCTCTTCCCCCCTCCTCTTCCCCCCTCCTCCCTCCCTCCTCCCCCTCCCTCCCTTTTCGTCCTTTCCTCTTTCCGTCCTGCTGCTCCTCTTCCTCCTCCTACTCCTCCTCCTCGTCCTCCTCCTTCTCCTCTTCCCTGCCCCCTCCTCCCCTATCAGCGTCGACCCCCAGACCTTTCCAGGGCTTACGTTGTGACCAGAACGTGGATGAGAAGCCGGCCGTGTTGACGAGAAGTTTGGAGAGAAACCCCAAAGGATGACCAGCATCCAAAAACATCAATCCTACAGCCTCCCTCCTATTGCGAAGGCCTTACGGCTCGTGCCGCCGACCCTGAAAACGAGACCTCCCCCAGGACCTTCGCTGGCGACCCCCGGGACCCTATACCCCCCTCCCCCCCGTAGCCCCCCCATCCCCCTACCTCCCCGTCAGGGAAGGGCATCGACTTGATTTACGATCTTCTTTCCTTGACCCTCGACAACGGCGAACACGACGACCACGACGACCACGACACAGGCAACACAGACGACAAAGACGACGACGACGATGACGACGACGACGAAGACGAGGACGACGACGACGACGAAGACGACGACGAAGACGACGACAAAGACGACGACGGGACGACGACGACGACGACGACACAGACGACGACACAGACGACGACACAGACGACGACACAGACGACGACACAGACAACACAGACGATAAAGACGACGTCAGCGCCTCACACACGCCGAAGGGTCGGCGGATTTTTCTACGCTCGTCTCCTCCTCGTCCTCCCCCTTCTCCTCGTTCTCCTTCTTTTCCTCCTCCCCTCCTCCTTCCTTTCCGCCTTCTCCTGCTCCTTCTCCTCCTTGCCCTTCTCCTCCTCCCTCCTCTTCCTCTTCCTCTTCCCCCTCCTCTTCATCATCCGTGACCTCATGGTGCCTCTTCGTACCCTGTCCCTCAGAGTGTCCAAGTGGGTGGGGCCTGATCGTTTTTCGGTCGCCAATGTTCAGGTGCTGGCCAGGAGGATGCGACAAGTAGAGAAAGACAACACCATGCACCTTGTGACAGGTGTCCTCAAGGTACTGTGTCGTGGAGTGTGCATGTCGAGCCGTCTTCACACTACTCTGCGAGGTTGCGCCTTGGGATGTACGGTGGAGACTCGGCATTCTCGGCATTCTCGTGTGTGCCCGAACCTCGAACGTTGCCTCGTCGGCATCTTTCCCCGTGGTGGTCTATTGGCATCGTGGACTGAGCAGTTGGATGGTGGGGATGCTGAGCAGTTGGATTAGCATCGTGGACTGAGCGCTTTGTTGTCTGGGGCCACAGAGGGGGAGGTGTCGTGACCTGGTTGGGTGTGCTCTACTTGACGGTTGTGTCTAGCGGCCCACAATGCCCGCCGGACGGGCTACCAGGTCCTTGGGGAATTCCTGGTCAAGGCGCGGTTGAGGCAAAGATCGCCGTCACCTCGATCGTTCGGAAGTGCTTCGGTCGCTCCGTCTCGTTACCGCTGCTCGGAGGCCCCCCCTCCCCCTCCGAATGTTCATCCTGCCCCCCACCTTTGTTCCCCCGTTTTCCTGTGGCTCCCCAGTTCCCCTCCCAGTGTTTGCGCCCCTTGTGGGTGTTTTGAGGTTGGCTGGCAGTTTTCCGAGCCATGGTCTCCCCGATTCAGATGAATGGTTTGTGCGCGCTGGCCATTGTCCTCCTGGCGCTCGTTTCCTTTCCTTGTCTTTGCTGCCTGTTCTCATCCGTCGTCCCGCTGTCGGCTCGTCCCATCGCCGCCGTCGGTCTCGTGTCCCACCTCGTCTCCGGTGTGCTGCTCTCCGCGGTTCCCTTGGTCTGCTTCTTCTGCTGCTCTCTCTCTCTCTCTTTCTCTCTCTCTCTCCTGGTCCTTGTTGCCCCTTGTCCATCCCCTTGCCGCTCCCTGCTGTTCGCTCTTGTTCCTTCTCGTGTACTTGCTTGTGTTTTCCCTCTTCACTCGCGGCCTGGGGGCCGAGGGAAGGGCAGCCGCCTCTCTCGCGGCGCCCGCCCTGCGCGCCGCCCCCGCCGCCCCGCCGCCCCGCTCGCCGGCCTCTGCCGCGCGAGCCTGGGCGAGCGCCTCCCCGACCGAGCCCCCCTCTCGGCGGGCGGGCGTGCGGCATGGGGAATCGAGCGTGGCCCCGGGCCCGAGGAACAAAAAAAAAAAAATCGAGCGTGGCTCTTTGGCCGGCTTGCGGCCGCGTGCACTTCCGCAGTCAGCGCGCATGCTCAGCGGCGGAAGGTGGTGCCTGCGGCGCTCTGCTCCCGGGAGCTCTGGGCCCGCCCGCCCCGCGCCAGGTTCCCGACGGAGCTCGAGGCACCCGCGGCGCCCTGCGGCCGTCGTCCGCTCCCGGCCTGCTCTCCCACGCCGGGTTCCCGACGGGTTCAAGAGGCACCCGCGTGGCAGGGCTCTTCTCTTGTGTTGCGTCCTCGTTTTGTGGGGCGTTCCCCGTTTTGTGCCTCTGCTTTGTTGCTGCGGTTGGGTTGAGCCTGTCGCTCGGTGGGGACTGACGGTGGTTCGGGCTCGCTCAGGAGTGGCGATCCGCTCGAATCGAAAGGGTCCGCTTTTGATGGGGCTACGCGCACCCAGGGACAAGGGACTCCTCGTGCAGAGCAGCCGCTGCTGCTCCTCGGTGTTTCTCTTGCTTTTCTTCGCGCGCCTCTCTCTTCCAGTGCATGCGTGGCTCGGCCCGTGGATGGACCGCTGACAGGGTTGATGTATGATTATGCGTGTGCGCTCCGGTCGAACAAAAGTTCCTCCTCCTTCTCTTCCCTGCCTCCACCTTCGCCCCCTCCTGCTCCTTCTCCTTCGCCTTTGGCTGGTGCTCCTCCCCCTCCTCCGCCTCCGTCCCCTCTTCCTCCTCCCCCTCCTCGTCCTCTTCTTCCTCCTCCTCCTCCTCCTCCGTCCCCTCGTCCTCCTCCTCCTGCTCCTCCTGGTCCTCATCTTCCGCCCGCTCTTCCTCCTCCTCCTCTTCTTTTCCCTTCTCTTCCCTTATCTTCTCTTCTTTTCTCATCCCTTCCTTTCTGTTCTCTTCTTGTCCTTTCTCTTCGTCCTCTTCTCTTCTCTTATATTATCTTCTCCTCTCTTCTATTCTCCTCTCTTGTCATCGTTTTTCTTCTCTTCTCTTCTTTCCTCCTCCCCCTCTTCCTCCTCCCCCTCTTCCTCCTCCTGCTCCTCCTCCCCCTCCTCCCCCTCCTCCTCCTCCTCTTCCTCCTCCTCCTCCTCCTCCTCCTCCTCTTCATCCCCGTGCGAAGACGAGTGCGGCGGCGACGACGACCCCCGCAGCGTCCAGGGCTCGAGAGCCTGGGGGCGCGACGCCCCCCGCCCAGCCCGAGCAGCGGCCCCCCCGCCGTAAGCCTGCTCTCTGGCGGGCCGCCGTCGTCAACGCCGTGGCCGCGGCCGCCGCCGCCCGTCGTCGTCGTCGTCGTCGTCGTCGGCGGCGACGGCGTCGTCGTCTTTGTCGTCGTCGTCGCCGTCGCCGTCGTCGTCGTCGTCGTCGTCGTCGTCGTCGTCGTCGTCGTCGTCGTCGTTGCCTTTTTCTTTGTCGTCGTTTTTGTCGTCGTCTTAGTCGTCGTCTTTGTCGTCGTCTTTGTCGTCGTGTTTGTCCTCGTTTTTGTCGTCGTCGTCGTGGCCGTCGTCGTCGTCGTCGTCGTCGTCGTCGTCGTCGTCGTCGTCGTCGTCGTCGTCGTCTTTGTCGTCGTCATCGTGGTTGGCGTCGTTGTCTTCGTACTCGTTGCCGTTGTCGTCGGCTCTGCTAGGGTCTTTTGGACGTTTTCGAACAGTCTTGCGGCCACGGCTGGACGCGGCTCCGAAAACCCGCCAGGATGGAACCGCGGAAGAGTTCAGGGATCCGTTTTGAGCGGGGCGTCTGGGGACAGCGGGCCTCTCGTGGTCTTTGTGGGAGTGTGCGTTTTTTTGTTGGCAGCGTTCTGATTTTGCGAGCCTTCTGGGCCGCCAGTGGCCTCCGCCGAGACCTCAAGGGACCTCCAGAGAGTTCTGGAGTGTTCCAGGTGTGTCCTCTGGAGTCCTCCAGAGAGTGACACGAACATTGCGCCCGAGATTTTTTTATGATCTTCGGTATTCATGGGCCGCTCTTAGGCCTCTGGACCAGCGTCAAGAAGGAGACTCAGGGTGAAAAGCCAGTCCTGGGGAAGGGGCCAAGATTTCTGGGGCCAGGGACTCGAAACGATCGAGTCGTGGAAGGTCTGCGTCCTGCTTGGCAAGGCTTAGGGTTCCGCGCACGCCCGCCGCGGAGG